TACATAAAAAGAGAGGGAAGGGAGGGACGAGAAAAGAGAAGAATCTATGCCACAGTAATCATCTATATTCCAAGGTTCGGAGAACAATCCGAATGGGTGAATAGAATCCTAAAATGGATGAGGTGAAAACGGCCGTGTGAAAAAGAAGCGGCATCATCAATTCTGTGCAGGAGACGTCGACCGACAGCTACAGCAGCTCGAGCGCGGTCAGTTGGATTCTCGCTCTAGTAGCAGCTCGTGTCTTCTCCGCCACCAGGCAAGGCGCGGGCGCAGCCAAGGTACCACTTTCCCTCCATTGCCCCCCAAGCTCGACGCTCCCCCAAACCAAAAACCAAAACCCCCGCCGCCCGCCGGTACGGTCTGCTTTTGTTTTTCTTTTCACCTCGCCCTCGGGGGAAACGTTCTGTCACGCGCGGTAATGTTCAGTCCGGAGGCTATATCGTCTTGGAGATCTGCATGCCTTGGAGACTGAAAAATCCGGGGAGCTCGAGCGAGTGCGTGTGAGAGAGTGAGTCAGTGAGAGAGAGAGGAGAGAGAGAGAGAGAGAGAGAGAGAGAGAGAGAGAGAGGGAGAGTAGAGTAGGAGAGGAGAGAGAGAGAGAGAGAGAGAGAGAGAGAGAGAGAGAGAGCTTGCTTTCCTTCTATGCGATCAGCTGGCAGGTTGAGCTTGAGTAGAGCATCTGATCAATTTAACGCTACCGGAGCGCCGTCCTCAAATCTCTGGCCAAGCTTTGCAGCAGCACATGATGTGCCTCGAGCCACCCGCCCCGATTCACTTAACCGTTATCTTGCTCCACTATGGAGCTCGGTACTCAATCTGCCAGCAGCAAGTGATGCCTCGAGCAACCCGCCCATCACGGCCTTCTTCTCTCTGGTTCTCTACGTAATATGCAGACTCCTGATCAGGCCTCTCGTCTTATAATAACACGCAGCACCCATGCAACCATACCCATCCATTCTGCCCTTTTTCGCTATTTACACTATACTGAATGTGCTAGATGAGCGATGAATGTAGCGAGAGACGAGAGAGAGAGAGATGGTAGGGAAACGGCATCTCGTATTGGTCCACGTTTGGGGTATTATTAGGTGTATTAGGCTACATATGGGGTATTGGGGTATATATTAGGTGTATTAGGCTACATATAGGGTATTGGGGTATATATTGGTGTAATAGGCTACATATGGGGTATTGGGGTATATATTGGGGTATATATTAGGTGTATTAGGCTACATATGGGGTATTGGGGTATGTATTAGGCTACATAGGGGTATTGTGGTATATATTGGGTGTATTTAACAAAAGCCTCAATACATTTTACTCTGCTATACCACGGGGTATTGGGGTATATATTAGGTGTATTAGGCTACATATGGGGTATTGGGGTATATATTAGGTGTATTAGGCTACATACAGGGTATTGGGGTATATATTAGGTGTATTAGGCTACATATGGGGTATTGGGGTATATATTAGGTGTATTAGGCTACATACAGGGTATTGGGGTATATATTGGTGTAATAGGCTACATATGGGGTATTGGGGTATATATTGGGGTATATATTAGGTGTATTAGGCTACATATGGGGTATTGGGGTATGTATTAGGCTACATAGGGTATTGGGGGTAATATTGGTTTATTTTAACAAAGCCTCAATACATTTTACATCACTCCCATGTGGCTGCGAGCCTGCTGAGGGCTGTAGTGACCATCCTGTGATAGGAGGCCTACCCTGCGTTATGCTAATGCTGAGGGGTACTGTACCCAGCTCTACACATCCTGTGACTGGTGACATAGGGGCTACCCTGCGTTATGCCTAATGCTGAGGAGTACGTACCAGCTCTACTACCTCCGTGACTGGTGACCAAATAGGCCTACCCTGCGTTAGCCTAATGCTGAGGGTACTGTAGCCCAGCTCTATACCATCCTGTGACTGGTGACCAATAGGCCTACCCTGCTTATGGCTTAGGAGCACTGTAGCCCAGCTCTACTACCATCCTGTGACTGGTGACCAATAGGAGGCCTACCCTGCGTTATGCCTAATGCTGAGGGAGCACTGTAGCCCAGCTCTACTACCATCCTGTGACTGGTGACCAATAGGAGGCCTACCCTGCGTTATGGCTAATGCTGAGGGAGCACTGTAGCCCAGCTCTACTACCATCCTGTGACTGGTGACCAAGTGTACACAACTACACACGTGCACATTGCTTTGTGTTGTAGATATGTGGTAGTGGAGTAGGGGCCTGAGGGCACACACTTAGTGTGTTGTGAAATCTGGTATGAATGTATTGTAATGTTTTAAAATTGTATAACTGCCATCATTTTGCCAGACCCCAGGATGAGTAGCTGCTGCCTTGGCAGCAGCTAATGGGGATCCATAATAAATACAAAATACAAATACAACTGTAGGTTTATTTTGGTGGAGAAGCAAACCAGTTACTGTTGCCTATTATACTATATGTGTCCGTTTAAGAAGTCTGTAGAGTCTATAAGCATAGACTTAGTTATCCACAATTGCGCAGTTAGGTAAGTATAGGGCCTACCTTTCATTTTTTTAGGCCAATTTATGTGGGGCAGAGGCATTCTCAGTAGATTTATTTAATTTTTTTTATGTTACCGAACCCTCCACTCATCAGGACCGTCTGTCCGCCTGGCACATGCATCTGATAAGCTTTTGGAGGTGTGTGCCCAGAGCTGCCGTTCGCAAGCTGTTCGCTCGCGCTAAATAAACCCATGCTGTCGCCTTTCCAAAATCCAAGAGAGACGAGAAAGACATAGGAACTGACTGAACCCGACAGTTTCAACGAATGGGATTCTTTTCAAAACGGTTTTATTTGACAATGTTCAGTTAGTCTCTGGCTCGAGAATGAGGACAGAGAATTGAGGAGATTATTATTTTACTTTTAGGTTGATCATTTGCCAATATTTGAGAGAGCGAGAACCTAAACGGCCTCAGTAAGGCTGTGGAAAGTTTACAAATATCACTTCAGCACGCGGGAGCTGTCTATGGTGCTGAAATAATAGCCCAGCCGACTCCTGAATAAGGTGAATCATGATAATGTGCCTACTGTTGAAAGTTCAGCCTCTGGAGGGTTGGGAAAAGTTCACAGCGATTTCAGTAAGACGGGAGCTGTCCATGGTTCTGAAAACAGCGACACAGATTTCTGAATGCTGTGAATGAGATAGTATGCCAACTTTTAGAGAATGGTATAAGCCAGGGCTTCCCAACCCTCTTCCTGGAGATCTACTGTCCTGTAGCTTTTCAGTCCAACCCTAATTTAGCATATCTGATTCAGCTTGTTAAGGTCTTGTTGAGCAGCTAATAAGTAGAATCAGGTGTGTTAAATTAGGGTTGGACTGAAAACCCACCCGTAGATCTCCAGTAAGAGGATTGGGGAGCCCTGGTATAGGCTATACGGCCTAAGAGACAGAGAAAAGTTCAATGTTGCATCAGCACCACGTGATCTCTCCAAGGATCTGAAACAGAATAACTTATAACTGCATTCATTTTTAATTGAGACTAGTGAGCCGCACTGCACTTAGCCTAAACAGAGTGTAGCCTACCTACACTCATCCAAAGACCACTCATCATGACGTGATTCAGACTGTATCTCTCAATACTTGGGTCACGTGAGGCTTTGGATCCATACCAATTTATCTTTTAAATACACCGCCAGACAGGTTCCGACGCAGCTATCTAAAACGTCACGTGAAGCGCTCCCTGTTAGTCATCATGGCCATCGGTTCACATTCCCGGTTGTCAGTGGCTAACTGGCACCACGCGCGTTACTGATACGATAAACAGCTCGGTTCCAGCTGATGGAACCGAGAGAGAGGCCGTCCTGTAAGCGCGAGAGAGTGCGAATGTCGGGAAGGGGCGGGGAGGATAGGGGAGGGGAGGAGAGGGGAGGAGGGGGAGGGGAGGAGAGGGGAGGAGGGGGAAGTAGAGGAAAGGAAAGGAAAGGAGAGGGGGGAGAAGAAGGGCTGGTATCGGTTATGTTTGAACGATCACAGAAAACTCTAAGGATGGTAGATGAGATGGGAACCTCTTTTTTATTTTCAAC